AATTTGGGTACCCTGTTATACTCTATTTCGGCATTCATTTCTATTAAATACATGTTGCATCATTGCACTGTGAAAGAAGAAACAACTCCCCAAAGTAGGGTCCTTTTTCAAAGCCTAAACTTAGCAGTGTCCTATACAAGAAGTGACTCTGAGTTCCAGTTTCATGAAACTTGCACAAATCTTTTATATGCATTTATTCAGATGAGGTCATTGATAAAAAGAGCGATCGGTCACACAGTAAAAGGGAGGAGAAACTATATACAGCATTTTACATAAGCGTACAAAGTGGTATCATATTAGAGACCAATGATTTGAGAAAAGATGATGCACTGTGAAGTTGTACCTTCCGGTATATTTTACATCTAGAGTAAAATAAATAACTTCACTTCCACACACAAAAAGAAAGATATAATAGTAAGATATTTAGGTTGGCTGTGTATTTACGATTACAAATAATTTCAGGTGACGGATGCCATAGTGCCTAACTAGAGCAGCTTCGATGCTCTCGGTGTATGAATAAATCGTGGCAAGCCGATATATTTTATCCTGCTCGAGGATGACATTTTGGGATTTTTTTTATAGTGATCAGATAAAAATTATTAGTAACCACCAACAAAAACAGTAGGTTAAATACCCCGTGAAGAAAAATGTGATAAATAAGATGTCCCTGCATTCAAAATGAGCAGTCCTTGGGAAATCAAATTCGGCACTTTACGCTAAGGTTTTCCTCGCTTTACCCATTTAATAAAGTTGCTTCCAAGCAGATCCGACTGTCCGTGCTACATATACGTCACAGGTCCCTTCTGTTGATGACTTGCTGAGCCGCCACGCGTGCCAAGACTGAATGCCAGGGAAGGCGCGCACCGTCAGCCACTCTTCTTTTTTTTTTGTTCACGATACCGAACAACCTCATTTTTGTCCAGATATGCAAGATGCACGCCTTTCAGTTTCTTTGATAGAACGCTCACCATTGTCCTGGCCATCTGAATTGCGCTTAGTGAACGTTCTCTCAGGTTGTTCAGCGTGGCCTGGTGCTTCACGAGTCCGCCAACTCCTTCACATGCATTTTTCCCATGTCCAGATGCACAAAATAACCACTGGGCTTGTGGGCAATCGTCCTTTGCAAATTGGTAAAGCTGGTAGCGATTCTTGAAATGACTGGCGGCGCCGTCACTTACGCACGTCCCGTACGAGTATACCGCAACGTTGTCTTCTACCCACTCCTTCACTTTTTCTAGAGCCAAGCAAGCGTGAGCGGCGTCGTGACACAGGTCCTCACTGATGATGGCAAAGCTGTTTGTAGATTTTCTTGTCGTCACTACACATGTAAATATCAAAACTTGTTTTTTTTTTTCCAGTGATATGCTTGCACTTCGTCAGGAAGCACGATGGTCCAGTTTTCAGCAAAGTGAAAATGAAAGACAATGCTCCCGCGTTGCATGCACCTTCATCGTAGATCGCTTTACCTTGCGTTTGCCGGTTATGGTTGTGAAGTACCCAACTTCCAACCGTCACTTGGATGACTTTTAGGAAAGTCTCAGGTTCCAAAGTTTTTTTCACAAGGTCGCCGGACTCCTATGTTGCAAGCACAATCTCTTCATCCTCCGGGATATCAAGTTCCTGGAGTGTAAGAAACTGGCCTTTTGGGCAGTGATCACAGTCTCCTTGAAGGCACAGTTCTGTTGCTGGGTCGCACAGAAATGCCGAGTTCTTTTCACCAGTGTTGAATGTTGAGCCTGTAACGTTCTCTAGAGCGGCAATACAAAGATAATAATTGGCGCAGCGCACACAAACGCACACTTCCTGGTGTGGAATACATTGGACCCATCTAGGGCGCAACGAATAAAATTTCGTTAGCCCAACGCCGGAATTGGGATGCTTGTCTTTGTATATACGGAAGGCCTCTCGTATTGAGCGTGTCATGAAGCGCTTTGGCACGAACGTTTTCTCTCCGTTGAGCATGACAGAGATGACGTTCTTCTGGTTGGGACTTTGGCGCGAACATTGTAGCTCGTCTTTCGTGAAGTACTCTAGGGCAGCAGACAGGTTCTCAGGGCTCACCTTGCGCCTCGTGTAAGGATCCGGCTCATACCACACGCCATGCTTTTCCTTGAGTTCTCGGGATTTACTGATGAGGTACATTGAGGCCTGTGGAATCATCTTTTGAACCTCATTCTTCGTCAGCGTTGACGGCAGGAGTGTAAGCAGTTGACAACGTTCCCGGAGAGAGGTGGCGGTTTCAAAGGCCTGCCGAAAGTTGTCCACCCACTCAGTGCATGTGGAGCATGTTGGTTCGGACGACCCCCATGGTGCGTCCCTGTCGTACGCAATACGTAGCCTTGAGCGTATATTCTTGACAGCAACCTGCTCCAGTTCTGTCTGCTTTCTCTTGACATAGGCAGGCCTGTCCCGACTTCTTACGACGCTTGGTTGTCTCAGCGGCGACACATCTGTAGGTAGTATGCTGCGATTTAGATCTTCAATTGCTTCTTCAGCTGGCACAAATATGTCAGGGCACTGCACTGAGCTTCGCATCGAGATCTCCTTAGTGATGTGCATGAAGCAATGGTAGCACAGGTAGTCCGTCGCACTCACTTTGGTGGAACAGTCAGGCGGAAGAATTTGCTTCAACGAGTTTAGGTCCAACTCGCCAACACTTCGAAAATTCCGCTGCTTTGGTATAGTCTTTTTGTGTTTGCAAAAGTAATCTGCACAAAACACTCGTTCGGAGCTCCAGGACGTCTTCATAATGTATACATAAATAATAGAAATTAAACCCCAACTGATGGCATATAATTGCAAAGTGAAAGAACTACTGGGTGCACAAGTGACAAGTCCGAGGCTGAGGAGCTCACTCACTGCAAACGTACATTTGAAAAAAGAGGTCACAACTGTGGCTGTCGGCAAAGCTTGATCCACGTCAAAGGAAGAAAGAGGGAAAGTCTCCAGACAAAAAATTGTGGTCACCGGCCTTCGAAAAAGACTTTCCGGAATCGCACTGTCGTCCCTCCACGCGCTGATATGAAAGCACCCGAGCTTCTACCACGTGGTTCATGACACTGCCTGAGCCATGTCGGCGACCGGTTCGCGAGGGGTTGGCGGTGGCGTTACGTTGATGGTCACTCGGATTAGCCCTTGCTGTACTGAGCTACCGCCTGCAGTGCCTTATCGCCGGCTGGTGTCAACAACGAGAACACACACACCCTGTCTACACCAAAACTACAAGCGTTCACCGCACACGCGTCGCCGCCGCTTTTAAGCTTTTGTGAAATTGCTTTCTTTTGCCGCGGAGAACCGCCTTATCTTAACTACGCGCCTGAAATCCTTCCAGGCCGGCGTACACAATATCAAGCGTTTCGAGAAATGCCCGTGGAGTAGAACTATGGGAAAATTTGGAGCCCGCGATGTCGATATCCTCGCCGTTGTGTTAGTAGGCCGTCGCGTACTGCAGTCCCCCGTTGAGGGAGGGGAGGGGGGGCGGTCTTACTACGATAACATGGCGACAGCGTTTACACTCTATGTATTTACGCGAGGCTCGACTATTTGGGGATAATGCTGCCGGTTGGTGTGCCCCTTTGTGCCTGATATTATCGCCCGTCACGCCAGCGAGTGAGATGGCGACAGGCATGACTGCTCAGTAAACAGGCGTCGGCGGCCAGGTTTTGCTGGTTGAAGCGAACCCCCTTGTCCTTGACAGCGAGCGGGGAAATGCGAAAAAAAGATTGTATCGGCCGTTTTGCCAGAACTAGCGACGAGTGTCGTCTGCGGTTTCCGGCAACTATTTTGCCATAATCGTGAGCTTAGCGAGGAAATGATTTTTGCTAGCCACAGAACACTACCACGCAGAAAGGGAATGCTTGAACATGTTTTTGTTCTGGATATATATCAGGGATATATAAGAGAGAGAGAGAGAGAGATGAAGGTAGAGCGGAAGGGGGAATAGCATATAGTGTCGCAGGAGAATAAAGTAAACAAAGTTCCTAGTGGCCGATGGCTGCATGATCTTTTCTCGGATCACTAGTCCGTAATATGATACCTCTTTGTACACAGTAGTTTCTCCTTAATTTAAGTGTGTGAACGATTTCTTTAGTTATCGTTGGCCTCATCTGAATAAAAATATATAAAAGATGTGTGTTGGTTTCATGAAACTGGAATTCAGAGTGAGTTCTTGTATAAAACACTGCTAAGTGTAGGCTTTGAAAAAGGACCCTACTTTGGGGAGTTGTATCTTCTTTCTCAATAGAATGATGCAACATGTTTTAATGGAAATGAATGCCGAAATAGAGTATAACAGGTTACCTAAATTTTAAAAAAAATCGAGGGTGGTGTTTTTTTTTTTATTCGCATCGGAATTTTTCTTTGTTTGATTTTTTTCCATGTTTGACTAAATATATCCTAACTATTGTATCACACCACGGCCGCTGGATCTTCTTTCTGCGCGCTCCCTTCTCCGGCCTGCCGATGCGCCCTCCGGAGGAAGATACCGAGCTAGTTGCGTTATTCGCCGCGTTACTGGTGAGGGCGCTGGAGAGCGTGACGGGCGGAGGTACCGGGAGATCCTCCCGGCCGCTCGCGGCTATGTGCGCCCGCGTTTGGCCGACGGCTGCGTGCTTTGCGGGTTGAGTCGGCACGACACGTCAGTTCCCTTCCCAGTTCTTGGTTCGATTTCGGTAGACCCATTCCACGCGACATTTTTATGGGCCATTACTCTTCTATTCTTGTGTCACCCTGCAAAAAAAAAAAAAAAAAAAAAGCAGCCTCGTCCTTTTTTTTTTTAATGGCGCGGATTTTTCGCGCGCCTGTTCTACCCCCAGTGCCTTATCTGATCGTACTAGCGTGTCGTGCCTGGCCCCGTCTTTCGGAGCCACTTCAGCTCTCGTGTGCTCCGTGAGGATGCAGTTTGTGAGAAGAAAACAAATCAGAAATGAAAATATCTGTTTATTATGCAGAAAACTTTAACGTAATCACCGCATTAACGTTGCGAGAATTGTGTTCGTTGAAACACTAAACACAACCTTACAACCGTATGACCTTTCGTGAAAGTGGCTTGTGATAAAGCTTCATATATCTATCGAGGGAGTCGTTGATGTTTCCAGTCCAGTTAGCCAAGAGTGGCCTGAGCAGCTTCCGCAGAAACAATTCACAAAGTTCCCTGCTATGTTCTTGGGAATCCCTTTCTTTGCACCACATCAGTGGGCACGACATCATGCAAGGAAGCAACGCGGCGAGTAACATCTTCGATATTTGACTGCTTCGCCTGACATCAGAGGACTGCAGCACGTCCTGCACAAACCTGCAGGTGATCTTGCACACCCAAAGAGCATCTAACGTCGGATACGTTAGTCCTCCACGATCGAGAATTCTAAGCAAGTTGAAGGGGCTGTCCGTTGTGCGAGGCTGATGAAGTAGTGTCTTGCAAGAAGGACAGGTGACCTAAGACAAATTAAAGAAACTTTAGAAAGCGCTCAAGTAAACTCTTCGGCTCTTCACGTGAATAAAATATGTGGCCACTCAACATCTTCACTGAACCTGTTTTATCTTTTCTAATGGTGCTGACTATATTAACACGTGGCTCACCTTTTCATCACAAGCAAGCGCTATGTAGCCTGCCACGTAGGCTAGTGGAGCGAGTTCCAGGCTTTCTGACACTTGATCACAAACGTCCGGTGACTTCAGCTCCCTCATGAGCCTCCTCGCTGCCATCTCTATGACTGGTGGAAGGTTGTCGTCAGGACGTTGGGGAGCGGACGATCGCACTGAAGTCTGGGCATCGTAGCTTGTTGGCGCATTTCCAGATTTTGCTGCCTCGATGATTCCGACCTGACAAAAAAAAAAAGTGTTTTAATGATCTAGTACTTGTTGATCGTAGTCACGCTCAAATACCTTCAACAACCTCTCTGCAGTGAACACAGCGGTCCTTGCGTCCACCTTGTCGTTTCCACCGTTGAACTGCCGGAAACAGCTAAAAAGAGACTCCACGGGGTCGCTGTTCAAGCAGCGTGTTAGGACGTACCGGAAGCTGTGGAAAGAATATGAAAGGAATTGAGATTATGCATACGGTTACTAATGTTGCTATACATTTTATATGTGGATAATAAACTTACTTTATGTTGTCAAGAAGGTACTCGGCGAGGGCCACTGTGGACCTTGTCGTCATCATAGTCGCCTCATATGTTTCTTTCGTCATACAGCGATTGCGTGCACCATCGCCGGAAGTTCTTAGATGTTCCATGTACTCAACGAAGTCCACTTCGAGCCACGACAGTCTTTCATCATCTGTAGTTATGAAGGGCTGCTCCTGGTCATGTCGATCGGTCCACCCACCAATGTTGTGCAAAGCATACCACTTCCCTATGGCTCTCATGAAGCGGACGGTCGCGCCACAGCCTTCGAAAGTAGGCGCCCTTTCATGGCAGCTGGGGTTTTCTTTGAGGTACTCAAGAGTCCCAATAACTACTGGAGAAAATAGGAGTGTTGCTCTAGACACCTTCATTTTCTCGAGGTTGCTGGGGTCGACGTGTGCCCGTGTCAGAAACCTTACCGGCTTCACCAAAAGGCCACTCTGGATGTCGTATAGTTCTTTGAGGAAAAGACCCCCTTGGATCTCCTCATCTCCATCAAACATGCTTCTCTCCAGCAGATTAGTTCTCAAATTTTTTATGAGATGGTTGGGATCAAACGATAAGAATAAAGGGTCGTCTTCCCGAAAAGGATGTGCGATTACATGCTGCAGTGTCTTGTCTTCTGACATGCTCCTGAAGAGCGCGGCATTCGTCTTGTGGTTATCCGTGACAATCCTCGTGACGCGAAATCCAGCGTCCTCAATGGCCTGCATGACACTCAATGTCATTTTCTTCAGTTCGTCATTCCTCAGGCATCTTGTGAAAAAATAACCGACAGGGATAATGTAGGCTGTCGAAAGCCCACGAATTACAAAACATAACAGCCTGTTTGCTACTTGGGGCGTGCCTGAACTGGATGCTTCGGACGAGTCTATACCCATGTCAACTAGTCCGAAAATCTTGTCCACTTGACGGTCGTACACGACTTTCTGCTGTATTGCCATCTCATCAATAATGAGAGAGCAGTGCCTTTCTTGGTCAATTTTCAATGCCTGAAATTCGGCACGTAGACGGTCATTGATTAGAGTTGTGACGCCCACTTCTCCGGTGGAACGCCCAACAAACTTTTGGAGGGTGCTACGGCATGGCAGCTTGAACAGTTTCCGAGCCTTGACGTGCTCATATCCCTTGCTTGAGCATGCCTTCCAAAGGACGCACTCACGGAGAACATGCTCCTCATAGCTGGGCCTTGTTTTTCCAAACGACATTATTTGGTGTCTCACAAAAGTGGCAGTTTTGTCCCCTCGGTCTGCTGCAGCGAAGATGTTCTTGAGAGCTTGTACCGCTTTATTCTGCTCAAACTCTTGAACTTTTCTGCTCAACTCATCGCACTTTTTTTGAAGTTTCTGCATCGAGCAATTTAGTCTGTTCACCTTCACCTGCAAGCGGTGCGTGTTCCTTTTGTTTTCTTCAAGCATTGCGGCAACGTTCAGCACGGTTTGGCTTTCTTGATCAGTTGTTGTCGTCTCTTCCGATGGTTCCGTCTCGGGATCAGTTTCAGCCGGGGGCTCATCCACTCGATCAGACCTGTCATCTGCATGTTGGCTGTCATTCTCATTGGCAGGCTCCTGGTTGGAACGTCGATCTGATTGTGTTTCGTCGTTTTCTTGCCGACTTAGCTTTCTTCGTTTGGGACAGTCACCGTCCTGCAAGTAGGAGGGGTATTCCGGAAACACTGTAGGAATAGCGCTTGACCGGAGGAGCTTTCTCTTGCAGCCTTCTCGGTAGTCTTTATCAATAAAATGGCGCGAGCACACGACCGACCTCGAAGCAGGTTGCCACGGGCTACCTTTAGCGGTGCCTTGCCTTGATATTCGCTTCAGCCAAGCCGCTCGCCGCTCCACGTTGCTTGGTATTTCAAAATAGTGGTCGCCGGGGCTGTTTCGGTCAGTCGACGGGCAAAGGGGGACACAACAACTTTTAGGCATGATGTGCGCACATGAACCGAACAGACTGTACAGTTCCTTCACGACATTGCAGATGTCAGTAAAAAAACGTGACTAACCTTGCACCAGAAGGCGCACAACACAACGATGATAGTAGCACGTTGATGCGACGACGGACGATCCTTCACGGCGTTGAAGATACAGTCACGTAAACAGGGCGTAATAGCAGAATAAATAATAACATCTGAACATTGAGTAAAAACAACGATGACAGCAGCCCGTGGGCGCAGGAGAAAAACAAGGAAAAGCGGCGCTGAGAAGTCAGCACGACGGCTCGCCGATACGGAGGGGACACGGGACGCGGGGCGTCGCGCTCTGTGGCGCCGCCCGGGAAAAAAGCGGCCGAGTCGAGAAACTTTGTCTTCACGGTCCTCCTATTGTATTCGAACCGGAGTGGGAGGCCGGAGAAGGGAGCGCGCGGAAAGAAGATCCAGCGGCCGTGATCACACAGATACCTTAGTTATTTTTTAAATATTAGCTATATATTAGTAGAATAATATCTGCAAATTATATCATAATGATTAAATTATTTCATGAGATACAGACCTCCAAATTTTGCCATTTGTCGTTTGAGCAGGCATGTTTGTCAATTTTTAGAAAAATAAATAAATTTTAAATAAATATGATGACTTTATATTACAAGCAAGCTATACCCATAGTTTGCGCCTAAAACGTATTAGAGTTCTCTTAATGTTATCGCTTTAGTTATTCACTCTCAAACGGGCCGCCTCCATCAGTGCGCGTTAATGCAACTGTCCACCACCTCATGCCTTACGACTTTTCCTGTCCCCAAGTATTTTTTCTAGTCAAAACTAAGTTTGGATTCGTTCATACCAGACACTAGACAATAACATATAAAAACATCAGTTGATTTGAAAATTTTGACTAGCCATCCTTTGGTCGATCTTATCTGAAATCACCCACATATCGTTTCCTAAAATGGTGAAACCTGAAATAGAATAGTGCAAGCAAAGAGCATACGTCAACTTTTAGCAAAACAGAAGGTGAACTCGGCGACTGTTGGTCCCTTCGCCCACAAACACTTTCACAGTAGAGAACACTGCCATAGCGATACTGGTGACGCACGGAGCCAAACCACCAAGAAGACAGATGATCATCGGTTGGCAATGGGACACACGGTTCCATTCGGCGGCGGTTTGAGTCTTGGGTCATGACCACTTTCACAACCGGCAGTACTGCCATAGCGATGTTGGTTATGCGTGGAGAAACAGAACACAAGGCGTTCAGCGGTTGACACACTCGGTAAGAATGTGGTATGGTTGACCCACAGACTAATAGCAGGCAGAATCGCTGCAACGGTGGATTTCGCGGTCACCATAGTCACGGGCTCACCGTCGTGACACTTAAATAGGCTCAAGCATACTCGGGCAACCCTTTCGAATCCACCGTGACCGGTGTACGTAGCACCAATTTAGAACCTGGCGGTTCATGACGGCTTCTTTTACTTGTTTGACGAAATGAAGGCCAGAAACCAGCATACTGCTCTGCATTCTTGGCAGAATATACTATTGACGTCCTGTGGTTGACGTACAAAGGTTCACAATTTCAGGTAACTTATCGTGCTGCGTGGGCATGCGTGGGGGCACAAATGCTGCTTATCAATCTGCACATTCGGCCTGTCTGAAAGAAAATAATAAAGAATTCACAAAGCCTTGAGCAGCTCACGAAGATAAGGTGGAATAACTTTCTTCCCGTCAGCCTCAAAAAGAAGCAAGACGTCTTGTTCCTTCCTGCTTTTCGGATTTGCTCGGGGGCGCATTAGTGAAATAGAGGAAGACACGCTGTTGCTATCTTTCTCCTCCCTTTTTTCTTAGAGTGTGCAGTCACAACCTGTGAAACGAAGAGCTCGACGCTGTACGCAGAAGACGCAGCTCGAGCGAAATTTTGTCATAGTGCTCTTGTACTTGATCTTGGCCTCTTCCAAGAAGCGGTGAGCCAACTCACATGTTTTTTGTAGTCTCTTTCTTAACTCGAGTACGTGACAGTAGGACGTCCTCACGTCGTCTTCGGGCGTCTCGTTGGACCAGATCTCCTTAAGGATGGCCAAAGGTCACCGAACTCTTCGGCCGTATAGTAGGTCCAATGGTGAAAACCTCAGGCTTGCCTGTGGCGCTTCCCTGTAGGCGAACAGTAGTGTCAGTATGTACCTGTCCCAGTACTTCGGCCTTTCTTGACACATTCTTCTAAACATCTGTTTGATGGTTTCATTAAATCTTTCCACAAACCCGTACCCCATCGAATGGTACGGTGTAGTCATGTGATGCTTCGTGGACAGCAGCCGGCTTACATCTTTTATGAGGTCCGACGTGAAGCAGGAATCTCTATTTCTAAGGATCTCATCTGGGTTTCCATACCTAGAGAACATTTCTAACAAGGCTTCTGCCACTTTCTCCGTGCCGATGCTTCTTAATAGAATAGCATCCGGGTACCTTGTGGCAACATCCACCATGGTCAGAATTTATCGGTTGCCAGCACTCGCCGTTGGTTCATCGGCCCGATGACGTCGATCGACACTCTCTTGAATGGCGTCTCGATGGCAGGCATTGTCCCAAGAGGCGCTTTGCCTACTCTGCCTTTTGGCACCGTGCGCTATCATACATCGCAGGAACGCACGTACCTCTTTATGACACTCTGCATGCCCAGCCAAAAGAACTCTTCAGCCCTTAGCGCAAGCGTCTTCTTCATGCCTTGGTAGCCTGACATGATACCATCGTGTGCTATTGCCTTAACAGTTCGTCGGAATCTTGCTGGGAGAGCCAGCTGCTATATACTCCTCCCGGTGGAAAATATAGAGCTCTGAAAGAGCAGGTTGTTCTCGATCACCATTTCTTACTTCGTACGACACTTGTGTTTCTTTACCACCTTTCCGACCTTGTCGAAACATTTTCTCAAGGACGCCTCGTTCCTCTGCTCTGTCGAAAGCTTCTCGACTGTACTTTCAAGAATCGGTACCTGTAACACATTCAGCTGAGGTTCCGCTTTGTTCCCGCTCTTATTCTTCCTCGACCCTCCCAGCCCCGCGGCACCTGAAGGCGGAATTATCAATCCCAAGTCCGTCATTTTTACGAGTCGTCCGGAGAAGCTTCCTTGTGGTTCTTCCTCTCTGGTACCTCGGCTCTCTTGTCCAGCTGGTGGCCAAATCCCTGGACAGAAGTTGTGTCTTCATCTGGACACTTCTCTGTTGATCGGAATCCCAATATGGGTTCGGATCGTTGGGATCTCTCACTTATGGAACGTTGCCAAGCACTAAGTCGTATAGGGGAACGTCAATGCACTTCGCCACGACTTTTTCTGCCAGAAAGGGTGTGTTGATCACAATTTCCGCCTCAGGTAAGTATTACACTGTTCGGTCCAGTAAATATACGGGGCTACAGTTTCCAGTGTAGCACCCAACGGGCACCAAGTTCTTCCTTACGACTACTGCATTGCAGCCGGTGTCCCGAAGTACCGTAACTTTTCTGTCGCCAATGCGGCGTTCGACCACAGGCATATTCTCAGCCAGAAACTTGGGCGGCCTCCCTACAGCTGCGTTAACCACTGGTATTTTTCCACCGTTCTTTAACGTGAGGTAGGTCTCATCTGGTTCACCTGCCGTTTCGTCGGAGGCTGTCCACAGGCAAGAAGTTTGTGGTTTATCGCCAGCCCTCATAGTACATTTGTCGGTCTTGTGTCCCATCCGGCCGCCGTGCCAACATGTTGGTGGGTTGTATTGCTGATTGCAACCCTTGCAATTCTCTGCTTTGTGTACTACCTTATTGCATAAAAAGTATTGGAGGATCCTCCTTGTGTCGTCTCTGAAGGCGTTAGGGACTGTACTTGCACTGGTTTTCAAGTCTTGTCGCTCTACCTTCGCTGTTAAAGCGCTCGGCTGAGTCTGTGCTTCCAGAACACGTCGGCTTAATCAACCAAATCACCTAGGGTCAAACAGTCTCTTTCTTTGAGAAAGACCATTAACTTACTAGCGCAAGTTGTCATGAACTGCTCCATTAGCATTCTGTCCCGGAGCGCCTCGAAAGTCTTCTCGATTCCGGCCACTTCGGTCCACCTATCGAAATACCCCGTCAACCTGGCTGCAAACTGTTTTCTTGTTTCCCCGTCTCCGGGCTTCGCCTCACGAAATCTTTCGCGATAACTTTCTTTTCTATACTGGAATCTTTGAAGCAGCGTCAGTTTCATCTTTGTATAATCCATCACATCGGCAGGGGTTATGCGACCGACCACAGTCAGGGCTTCACTTGTCCTGTGGCCATCCGAGGCCTGTGGCCGTATGCTCGAACCTCTGCAAATACGCGTCAAGGTCGTAGCGCGTCTCATTATATTGCGGTATCAGTTTGTGTGAACTGGCCCTACGACTTGGTCCAGTCGAACCGCCTTCTCCTCCTTCGCCTCGTGCTTCGCGATTTCCTCTTTCCTGGGCAGTGATTCTTAGTGTAGAACTTCTTGTTCCTTATCCAGTCGTAAACATTCCGCTTGACATGCGCATTCTTGCGCCGCAGATGCGCGTTGTTGCGCCGCGTGATCTTCTCTTGCCGCCTCCCGTGCCTGCAGCCTTTCCTCTCTTTGAATATGTTTCTCCCTCTCAACCCAGACCTTAAGCTCCTCCCCAGTGTATCCTAGTTCCCTCCCAGTCGCCATCAATTTATCAATCTCTACGACCCCGGAGCCAGTCATGGTCGCGAACTCTCTCCTCCGGGCCAACGAGATCAGGCTAGTGGATTAATGGAATCCTGGCAAGCTCGCCTATTAGACCGATCTCATCAGCCAGTTTGACTGCGCCACTGCTGCCGCAATGCATCGAGGAAGCTTTAGTCTTCTTGCACGTGCGACATCCTCGCTGGAGCTCTGCGCGTGTGGAGCATGAGGCGGCGCGAGCCGTCTTGTGCACTGCTGCCTGCCTCCTGCGAACTAAACTTATGACGGCATCACGGATGCGTCGAACGCTTGGTGAGATCGGTCTATTGTCATC